GGGGTGAGGGAACAGCACCAGGTGTGACAGGAAAATAATCATATTGTCTCTCGTATCCTAACTATATCCGTACGGAGCCCCCGAGCACTGCAATATTTTATTTGTACGTATCAAGCCCAGGTATTCTGCTTGTAAAACTCACCCGCGCGCATTATCCGTCTCCGTGCTGGACTGACTGGTCATGTGCCTTTCACCCTTTTTCATGGTTTGTCATCTTTTTTTAACACAACTGCAGAACTTGAACAAATCAGAGAACTACCGTTAAAAGTTCTATGCAAGAGATGACTGGGGAGTCAGTTTTCGGTATTTCTGTGTTTCTATGTTGTTTTAAAAGTTGACACTGGGATTTTCAGAGAAGCCTAACAGAATTAATGCCCTAAAAAGCATTTAGCTTTTGTTTGGTTTGGTTTGCTTTAGCTGAAAAGCATTTAGCATTTCACATGCTAAATCTCTTAGGCAGCTTCGAAAAGCTCAACCTAAAACCCCAGTTCCTCACCGGTTTGGGTGCGGTGAGCAAGTGGCAGCGGCAGGGACGAGCACCAGCGCTTCGCCGGGACAGGCGGCGCGTTCGATGGCCGGCGGTCGTGCTCAAAAGAAAGGAGAAGAAAGCTCTATTGGGTCGGAAAAGGTTGCCTTAAGCCTTCCCTAAAACACGTTGGAGAATGTTATCGGCCGCCAGCCCTGTGCCCAGCACCGCCCAGGTTGGCCTGGCCGCGGTGTTGCGGAGGAGCCACGATGTCGAGCAGGTGCCCACCGCAGCCGGTGCCCACGCGCCGTGCTCCGCCGAATGCCTTACAACGGTGGGACAACTTCCACGCTGGGATTTCGCGAAGAGGAGGGGGGGGGGAAACAACGCCCCACGGTTTTTCTACATCACCTATGCTGTAGGACTGAAACCTCGTCCCAAACTCAAAGATAATAAATACGTCCTTTTGTGTGTGTTACATGTCCGATGGGTGTAAGCGAGGTTGGTAGTGGAAGGGTGTCTACTTCTCGTAGGACGTCGTTTAAGCATTTGCCGTGTGTCAACAGACTGACGGACGCGACTGCCTGGAACACGTTTCGTAGTGTGCCTGTGTGTATGTAACCTGGTTTTTGGTTGTTAGGTTGTAATGCTGTCTTTTGACTGAAAAAAAAAAAATCTAATATAAAGAAAAACCACAAGAAATTAAAAAAAAATATATTTAAACTCTATTTTATGTGTGTTCTTCTCAAGCCTGCAAGTCAACCTGTTAGCAAAAAGCTTTGGGTTTTAAAATCAGCATTTAAAAATCAATGCCAAAACTATCAGAGCCAAGTCGATAGAAAAACGCCCCGTTTGAAGACAAGGATGTGCAGGGGAGGGGATTTTTGTTTTCCTTCCCCATTACCAAACCCTAAAACTCAGCAGATGATTGCGAGGGCTGAGGCAAGTGCTGATTGCCCTGAGGAAGACAAGTCCCCCATCGGCCCGTCTCTCAGCATCAGCCGTTTCTCCAGGCACGTACACAACAGCCTGGCACGTTCTTACCACCCACCTTAGCACCGAGAAGCGGCGAGATGCCTCTAAGATGATTAAGGGCTTGGAGCACCCAACAGATGCGGAGAGGCTGAGAGCTGGCACTGCTCGCCCTGGGGGAGAAGGCTCAGGGGGATCCCATCCATGTGTGCAGATACCTGACGGGGGGCACAGAAGACAGGGAGGGACTCGTCTCGTCCCATGGCAGGACGAGAGGCACAAATTGAAGTAAAAAAGAAGAGAAATGCCACTTAAACGTAAGAAAATGCTTTTTTACTGCAAGGGTGGTTGACCACGGGAGCAGGTTGCCCAGTGAGGTTGAGGAGTCTCCATCCTTGGAGCCAGCCAGACTGAGAGCAGACACGGCCATGAGCAACCTGCTTTGGGCAGGGGTGGGACGGGGCTTTCCGAGCCCGGCGGCACGGCGGCTGTGCCAGCTCCTCCAGCAGATCAAAGCCAAGGGGTACTCTGGGCATTACACCTGCCATCCCCCAGCTGCTGGGAGAAGGACTTCAAGGACTTGTTGCGTTAGCTATTGGGAATGAAAAAACTAGGTAAGAGCGAGCTTTGGTAAACCACCTCATGGGAAAAGCAAACTCAGCAGCGGGAGACAAAGCACAGGGTCCTTCGGGCTGGGGTGGACCTCAGGAGGTCTTCAGCGCACCCTCCTGCCCACAGCAGGGTAAATACCTGGTTCAGACCTCATCGTACAGGGTGTTGTCCAGCTGATTCTTGAAAATCTCCCAAGAGAGATCCCACCATCTCTCTGAGCCCTGGTCCAGTGCCCAGCTGTCCCCAGGGAGGATTTGTTGTTCTATCCAGCAAGAATCTCCTCTCTTTCCATTTCTTCTAGTGGTGTCCCCTCCTCCCAGCACCCACCTCCCTAAGAGCCTGGCTCCATCTTCTCCAGTACCTGAAAAGGGTGACAAAGCTCATCTCCCTCAGTCTCTCCACTTTGGCCAGGTGTTCCCAGCACCTGGCCATCTTGGTGGCCCTCCATTGTCCCCCTCTACGTTATCAACATCTTTCTTGTGTGCAAGGGAGGTGGTGGGGGTGGAAACCAGGTGATAATATTCCAGATGTGGTCCAACAAGTGCCAAGAAGAGGAGGATGATCGTTTCCCTTACCCAGTGGCTACACTTCTGCTAAGCACAGCCTGGTAGAGCAGCCCTCCTCCTGGCATTAAGCCAGGCTTAACAAAGCTGCTCCCTAGCCAGTCACTGCCCAGTGCACCAGTGGGCACCAGTACAAGGGTCCTGGGTTCCTCCCAAGGCTCTTTCCCAGGTGTAGGATCTTGTGTTTGTCCTTTCCCAACGCCCACATCCCTGTAAACAGTGACCCTGTCCTCCAGCTTGTCTTCTTCCCCCAGAGCGGTGTTTTCTGCAAACCTGAGTGCGTCCCCTCTCTCCTCCTACTTTGTTGGTACATGGACCTTGCCCGTGAAGATGACCTTCCAGTTTTGTGGGCTCTGTCCAGCTCCTCGTTGTCCAGAACGTCCCAACTGACCTGACCTGCAGCAGCAGTGGTGAGGCCGAGCACCGAGCAGGGTGAACACCGGGTTACCCGCACACTCGCCCCGCGCGCTTCGGGCGGGCTCAGCGGGCAGGACAGCAAACAGCAACACCGCAGCGGGGCGTCTCCCACCCCACCAAAGACTTTGGACAGGCGTGGGGCAACCCTGCCTTGTCCTTAGCACAAACTGACACATGGAATAAAACCAATTTTGTGGACTGGCCAAATAAAGACAAGGGTCAGCAGGTTGAGGGAGGGGATTCTGCCCCTCTGCTCTGCTCTCGTGAGACCCCCCTGCAGTGCTGCGTTCAGCTCTGGGGTCCCCAACAGCAGAAGGACATGGAGCTGCTGGAGCGGGTCCAGAGGAGGCCACGGAGATGATCCGAGGGCTGGAGCACCTCTGCTATGGAGACAGGCTGAGAGAGTTGGGGCTGTTCAGCCTGGAGAAGGCACCGGGGAGACCTTCCAGCAGACCACAGTGCCTAAAGGGGCTACGGGAAAGCTGGAGAGGGGATTTGGACAAGGGTGTGTAGTGACAGGACACGGGGCAATGGCTTTAAACTGAAAGATGGGAGATTTCAATGGGATCTAAGGAAGAAATTCTTCCCTCTGAGGGTGGTGAGGCACTGGCACAGGTTGCCCAGAGAAGCTGTGGCTGCCCCATCCCTGGAAGTGTTCAAGGCCAGGTTGGATGGGGCTTTGAGCAACCTGGTGTAGTGGAAGGTGTTCCTGCCCATGGCAGGGGGGTTGGAACAAGATGATCTTGAAGGTCCCTTCCAACCCAACCCATTTGATGATTCCATGGCAAAGCAATGCAACCTGGAGGATGGAATTAGTAAAAATGGGCCATTTCAGAAACTGTTTCCAATTGACTGTACTCGAGTGCACACCAAAACAGATACATGCACGTGTAAATGTGTGTCGTGGCTCCATGATGCCACATACATACCTAAACGTGTGTGCGTGGATCTATAATCCTACGGGAGCAGATACTTTTTGTGGAAACCACCTTCATACCAACCCCCCGTACAGCGCGAGAAGCGCGAGCGCCTGGGGCGGAG